CAGGATGAATGCATCTCATTTTTTTTTCAATTATCCTGCCCTTGGCCAACATTTATTATTTGACCAGCAAGTTTAAGAAGTAATTTGCTGCTCGCTATCTTGCTGCCTGGCAAAAGTTATGTTTTTGACGTTACAACAATGAATGCATTCAAAAGTGGTTAAAAAAAAACACGTACAAAGAACCGTAAATGCTGGAATTCTGAAAGAAACATGCAAATTGCTGGAGTTAGAGTTCTGAAGAAGGGTTGCTGGATGTGAAACCTTGATTTTCTCTCCACAGATGCATTCCAACTCGTTGAGTTTCTCCAGCAATTTCTGTTTGTGTTCCAAATGTATTTAGTTTGGTGCAAAGTGTTGGGGTATCCTGAGATTGTGGCAGATGATTTATGAATGTGAATCCTGAGCTTTCCTTTTTTACTTGTGCAACAGCCTCCATTGCTTCATTTGAACTGTCCACACATCTTTCTTATCATGATGACTTAAGGGGAATGAACCAATTCCAGGGCCAAGAGCCAACAAAGTTATCGCTACAGCAGGGAGCTGTCAACAGTCATGTTCGATAATGCAGTGATGACTTTATGGGAAATGGGATCCTGAGCTGCTGATTGTGGATCACCACAAGACGGATCCAGATGAAAACATAAATATTTCTGAAAATGATACACTGCATGATGTAAAGCTGTTCTATTCTCTGTTATAGGCATTCTCTGGCTACAAACGGCTCCGTTCCTCTGTCCCTTCATAAAAAAGATTTTTACACAAATCGGAACACATACAGTACAATATAAAATAGCTATTCTTAAGTATGAGCCAAACTTTCATATGTCAGATCCTTAAAGTTAAAATTAACATGGAATCTCATTATAAGTACAATCAGTTAGAACTAAAATTAGAATTAACTTTATTGTCACATGTACTAGAATGAGTGCAGTGAAAAGTTTGTAATGTTGCCGCTTCTGGTGATATCTTAGGTACAAGATACCTAAGGTATAGATACTTAAGTATTTGGTACAAAATTGAAAGAATAATAAATAAAAGTCCAGCATATGAATAAAAAGTAAAAAGAGTACTCAAATTACAGTCCTTTTCACGCAGATCTGTGCCAGCACCTAACCCCCAGCCAGCACTGGGCCAAGCCTCCAGACCACTCCAGGCTTCAAAACTTGAGGCCTTGCCTCCAGTCCACGGGGGCCTCCTCTCCCCATGGTGGCCTCCAGTTCAGGACTCGCCCCACCCTGTGCCGCCTCGAGTCCTGGACATGCCACCGGGACCCGCCTCCCACTCCGGGCTAGTCTAGGACCTCCTGTGCCAGTCTGATCTGGGACTCGCCTGTGACAGCCTTCCATCAAGGAGTCAAGTTTAAAGTTAGAAATTTGAAAAGAAAAGAGAAAAAGAGAAAGGGCGAGCGGAGCAGAGGAGATCTGGCTGGAGTGTCCTACTCTTTTAAATCAGGCTTTTGTGAATTGGGGATCGCCTGTGTATTGTCAAACAACTTGTGTTCGAGAGAAGCCGCCTGTTCCTTAACACATCAGCATCAGCATTGGTGTATGATTGAAGATAAATTAATCGACTTTATTTAATATAACTGTCACCTACCGAAATAGCTGATAACTTAATTGCCCACTGTCTATTGCTTAGTAATAACTGTCTATGTGTTCACTGGGGGTTCCAAATTCAGGTCACTATCAACAATCTCTGAATTCAGAGGCAACAATATCTCAATACTTTCTACATCATTCATGCCTTCAGCTGACATGTAGCAAATTGTGAATGATTGAATCTATCTAAATAAACTGAGGGGGAATGTTTTTGAGAGTAACATGTGTTAAACAAAAAATGTATCTGATTCAAACCACCACCCATTAAAAGATAACAGAAACTTCTGTGCTTAAATAGTCTTGTAATGACTTCATTAATCCAGCAAGTGAAAAATAATGAATGAATTGGAGAGACGTTGAAGTTTTGACCCCAGTGTTCTCTAAAGCAGCCTTGAAGACTGCTAAAGCTGTGCTTTAGTGTATCACTGATGGGATACTGGATTACTGAGGGTTCTGTGTTTTGAACAGAATGAAGACTCTCCATGCAAATACATTGATGGTCAGCAGGGAAGGTGATGGCCTAGTGGTATTATCACTGGGCTGTTAATCCAGAGACCAGACAACATTCTGGGGACCTGGGTTCAAATCCCAAAACAGTAGATGGTGGAATTTGAATTTAATGAATATCTAGAATTAAGAATCTAATGATGACTGTGAATCAATTGTCAGGGGAAAAAGCCATCTGGTTCACTATTGCCCTTTAGGGAAGGAAACTGCTATCCTTACCTGGTCTCATCTCTATGTGACTCCAGACCCACAACAATGTGGTTCACTCTGGATAATTAGGGATGGGCAATAAATGCTGACCTAGTCAGTGATGCCCTCATACTGGGAAGGAAAAAGGAAAGAAGCTGTTGGAAGCACAGACAGCCCTCCTGATGCACTGGACAATATTGCTCACTGACCACCACCAAAGGCAGCTGACACCTCTATCTGTTCATTTTCCATTTGTGGGATTGTATGCTTTAAAACGGAATTTACATTATTTTGAGATAGTAAGAACTGGAGATGCTGGAGTCAGAGATAACAGTGTGGAGCTGGAGGAAAACAGCAGGCCAGGCAGAATCAGAGGAGCAGGAAAGTTGATGTTTCGGGTCAGGACCCTCCTTCAGAAATGGGGAGGGGGAAGGGATCTCAGAAATAAATAAAGAGGAGGGGTGGGGCTGGGGAAGGTAGGTGGAATGGTGATAGGTGGATGCAGGTAGGGAGTGGTGGTGATTGGTCAGTGAGGTGGGAGGAGCAGATAGGTTGGAGAGAAGATGGACAGGTTGGGTCAGGTCAAGGAGGCGGGAATGAAAGTGGGGGTTGATCATGGGATGAGGTCGGGTTTGGGGAGATTTTGAAACTAGTAAAATCTACATTTAGACCATTGGGCTGTAGGGTCCCGAGGCGGAATATGAGGTACTGCTCCTCCAGTTTGCGGTGCCATCATTGTGATACTGGAGGAGGCCCAAGATGGACATGTCACCCAGGGAGTGGGAAGGGGAGTGAAATGGTTGACGACTGGAAATCGTTGTCATTTGTCGCGAACTGAGCGCAGGTGCTGTACAAAGCGATCTCTGAGTGTCCACTTGGTCTCACCGATGTAGAAGAGGCCACATCGTGAGCAGCGGATACAGTAGACCACATTGACGGATGTGCAGGTGAACACCTCACATTCGTTCAAGCCACCAAACAAATGTTCCACATTAGACAGGGGTTCACCTACACATCCGTCAATGTGATCAATTGCATCTGCTGCTCCTGATATGGCCTCCTCTACATCGGTGAGACCAAGCGGAGGTTCGGAGATTGCTTTGTAGAGCACCTGCGCTCTGTTCGCGACAAACTACAACAGCTTCCAGTCGCCAAATGTGCTGGAAAAACTGTGATTTATCTGTTATGCACGGACTTCACTGAACCTTTTTGTGGTGTGATCTTATCAAGTCAGTCATGGAGTCATACAGATCCACAGCTCAGACACTCAGTTACAGCAGTAGGAACACCACCATCTGTACATTCTGCTTCAAGCCACTCACCAGCTTGACTTGGAAGTATGTCACTGTTCCTTCACTGTTGCTGGGTCAAAATCTTGAAATTCCCTCCTTAATGGCATTGTCAACCTATAGTATGTGCACTGCTACTGCTCAATAAGCCAGCTTGGCACCGCTTTCTGAGGAGCATCTCAGGGAGGGCAATTAATTCTGGCCCAGCCAGTGATGCCCATGTAACACCAATGAATATAAACTAAAGCCTTCTGGTTTATTGTGTCTGTGCCGGTCAAAAGCAAGTAACTATTCTAATCCCATTTTCTAGCACTTGGCCCAGGGTTATGAGCAGGTTGGAACAATCCTGCTCCATTCCACAGCTTGTTTGATTATACTCGATATTTTAGATTTGATTTGTATTGCTTATTTAGTGCATATACTTAACCATGAATGCGCTGATTATAAAAGAACTAAGCCAGATTGATTTTCTGGAGTTAACCAAGTAAGGGGTTAGTTTTATATAAACCCTCCAGGTTTAAAACAAGGAGATTAAGAAGGTAAAGAAAGAGTGGCAGAATTTCCGTGATAGAGTGACACTTCTGATTCGAGATGCTTCACTTTAATTGCTGAAATAATTTACCAATTGCAGTGAATGGATATTTGACTGCATTCTTCAGCTGCTCTCTGAATTTAGTCTGCGTCACTGCATAAATACAGGTGTTGGTGCAGGTACTCAAAAGCTGCAGCATGTAGCCAGATTGTTCAGTGATATACGCAGGATCATGGGCATCTGCATAGTAATAAGTTTTTGTAATTCGCCAATAAAGGAAATATACAACATTTGTCATCCATAATAGTATAAAACTTCCTGATATGGTGAAGAGTAAAATGATGGATTTCCTGCGGCTCTCCATTTCTGGGTCAGTGTG